ATTTCTCTCACAAGGGGTGGTAGTCGTTTTCTATTTACATGCATATAGTCTCATAAGCACGTTATATGTTTGCAAAGCTCATTTGAGCAAATCAATTTTATAATTTATGTGCTCATTTTTTTTTTAGTATTAATCGAATCGAATTGCTCATTGGAGTTTAATGGGCTATGATAATATGTTAAGATGTCTTAAAATGTCAATCTTACTAAATGGAGTATTTCAAACTCTTATAAATTGATCTATATTTTTATCTTTATTTGACGTAAAATTTTAACACTGAACGCTGTGTTCTGTAATTTCATTTACAGTTTGAATGTTTTTATAAAAAAGTTCGAAAGTGGTCAAGCTGTCTATAATTTATTTTAATTAGTATGTGTAAGTGGGCATGTATTCCCCATTTTATACCATATGGACATATATGAGAATTTGTATTTCTTCGTGGGCAGGTTAGTCCATTTAATTGAAAAAATTATTCCTCAATTTTCTTAAGTTATTTGTTGCTGATGGGTGGGTTTGCAACCAACTAGCATTCTCATTGGCGCAATCCACGTCCAGAGGCGGATCCAACACCTGGCCAGTCCACGCGGCAGCCCGTGTTGGATCCGTCGAAAGTAAAAAATTTTTGTTGATAATATATATATATATATATATTTATTTATTTATTATTTTGTTTTTTTTTATTTTTTACTTATATAACTGGTCATTCATTTCATTTTCGAACTTCTCATGCAACTTGGTTGGTGAGAAAGCGTCTATACTTCATGTCTTAGGTTTGAATCAGGGTCGGTCCTGGCCCAAGGCAAACGAGGCCATTGCCTTGGGGCTCAGATTTTAGCCTCCAAAATCACATTAATCCATAAAAAAAAGTCATTTTTCGTTTCAAAGAGAAGAGGAAGAAACGATCAGACGAAGAGTCCTACTCATCGAGACTCCAATCAATGAATGAATCATCTTCATTTTTTATTCTTCAATCTTCAAGAGTCGTCGTCCCCCAAACTTAGGGAAAAAATTCTCTATTCTATTTCTTATTTTTAATTAATATTTCGTAGTCGTTGAAAATTTGAATTTGAAGTACCCGTTAATCTCTTGTTTCTCTTCGTCAATCTCTTTTAGTATTTTTGTAACTCGAATTCAATTTGTCAAGTTTTATAAGTGGCCAAACGGGTTATTGGCTTGAACACACGAATTGAGGAAACAAACCACGGGTAAGTTTTTTCGCCAAAGAAGTTAAAGGGGAGGAGGTGGAGACCTATGTTCTACAGCTTCTGATGTTCCTATTGTTGTGTTGAGGTAAGGTAATTAATTACTAATTATGGCTAATGGCTTCATCTAATCATCTCTTTCTTGGATAGCATCATAGCAATATTTAGAAATTGAATAATTGGATCTTGTAAATTAATCGCTTCAGCCCTCAATGCTCTGGATGATTTCGATCCGGTAAATTAATTGCTTCAACCTTCAGTGTCACTCTTTCTTTATTTGTGAGTCCCTGCTATATCCCTTATATGTGTATTGTTTTCTGTTATATGTCGCATTGTTAATATAAGGCATGATTACTCAAATGGGATCTAATAGTGTTTGTCTGAGTTCATTGTGATTCTCTTCCTCCTTGGCTGTTCCTCTTGTTGACCCAAAAAAATGTTGTCAATAGATGCTGGGCCCACTCTTGCCACGTCAAGCAATAATCCGGCACGTTCCTACCGGAACAGGAGCGGTAGAGTAGTTGGAAAGGGCGTGGGAGTTGCTTTCCGGCAAGAGACACAACTGTTCAAGCTCCGGCAATTTTCTTGGAGCAGCCCTTGCACTATCAACAAGAGCCAGATCGACTTTCTTTAAATGAGTGTCTATTTTGTTATGGAATATGTGGAAGGATAGATAAGATCGAATGATATTTTATGTTGGAATCTTGATATATTTGCTATGGTGTTTGTAAAATATGTAAAGAACAAAATATGTGAATTTTCTTTAATATCTTCCTTTCATGAGAATTATGGTATCTTTCGTTTACTTGTTTGATTTTCAAGCTCCAACCCCCTCAATCTATACAAATGAAGACTATTTATACTGTCCAAACGACGTATTG